GGTAATTCAATCAATTGAAACTAAGAAATAACAGAATTAGCAGCCAAGAACATTAAAACTTTAATAATAATAGTATTCTATATGTTCAGAAAAGTAAAGTGGAGACAAAATGAAAATATTTAAGATGAAAATATAATGTGTGAGATGAAAAAAGGCATTGAATAGAATTACCAGCTGATTTCATTACAAAAATAAAATTAGTAAACTTGAAGATACAGCAATAGAAACTATCCAAAATGAAAAGCAAAAATTGAATTTTTTAAAATAAACAAAATGTGTAATTGAAGTCTCTGAAGGATATAAAAGCAAGGTCGGGGCAGAAAAAATATTGGAAGAAATAATGGTCAAAAATGTCCAAATTCCATGAAAACTGTATCTACAGATCCAAGAAACTCAATTAATTCCAAACAGAAGAAATTATGCCAAGTCATGTCATAATAAAATTCAATGATATAGAGATCATCTTCAACACAGCCAGAAGAATAAAGGCTCATTACATACAGAAAAAAAATAATAATAACAACACATTTCTCATGAGAAACAATACAAATGAGAAAAGATAGGGCAAAGTGTTCAGAGGACTGAAAGAAAAAGGCTATAGCCAAAAAAAATATCTTTAAAAAGTGTAGATGAAAAATAATGTTTTCAGATGTGTAAAAGATTAAAGACCCCATTACCAGTACACTCCCACTGTAAGAAATGTTAAAGGAAGTACTTTAGGCAGAAGGAAAATAATACCAGATGGAAATGTGGATCTCAACAAAAGAACTAAGAAATGAGAAATGATATTCATACTATAATTTCATACCTATAAAATGTTATTATTTAAATCTTTTTAAAAGATAATTGACTACTTAAATAAAAAAGATAATATAACCTGGGATTTGTAACATATGCAAAAGTAAATTGCATGACAACAAAGTACAAAAGTTAGGAAAAGAGAAATAAATGCATACTATCAAAAAGCTCTTATGATATAGAGATCCTTTATTATATATTATAAGATCCATATATTATAAGAACATACAATATATGTGCAGTGGTATAATATCACTGGAATGTAAACTGTGATAAAAGTAAAGATGTATGATATAAACCTTACAGCAACCACTATAATAACAACGCAAGGATTTTTTGTTAAGTCAAAAAAGAATACTAAATGAAATCATGAAAAATATTCAGTTAATCAAAAAGAAGACAGAGAAAGAGGGGGGAAAAAACAACAAATAAGACAAATAGAAAACAAAGGTGATAGCAGTCAACCTAGCCATATTAATATCCACAGTAAAAAGTGACCTACACAACCCAAAAGTAAAATTTGTAAAGAAACAAATGTAAGTATATGCTGCCTAGAAGAAAACCGCTTTAAACATAAAGACACAACTAATTTAAAAACTAAAATAAAAATATATAAAAAGTTATAAATACTAGTGTTTAGTTAATACAAATCCAAAGAAAAAGGAAGTGGCTATATTAATATCAAGTCAAAAGAGATGTCACAGCAAAGACTATTACCACGGATGAGAAAAGTCTTTCATAATGATAATGAGGTCGATTCCTCAAGAGTACATAAAAATCCTAAACATTTATGCACCTATTAACAGAGCTACAAAATACATGAAGCAAAAAAGTGATAGAACAGCAAGAAGAAATAAAGAAATCCAGAATTATAGTCATATATTTCAATCCTTCTTTTAATAATTGATAGAACAAGGAGACAGAAAATCAATAAGAATACAGAAGACTTGGACAATGTCAGCTAACTTTACCTAATAAATATTTATAGACCACTCACTCAACAGCAACAGAATGCACACTCTTTTCAAACACACATGGAACATTTACCAAGACAGTCCATGTTCTGAGCCATTAAAAAGCCTATTGTAAAAGGATTCAAGTCATACAAAGTATATTCTCTGACCACAATGGAATTAAATGAGAATCAATAACAGAAAGATCTCAAACAGATCCCCAAATATTTGGAAACTAAAGTATATATTTTTGTATAGCCCATAGGTCAAAAAAAGGGAGAGTAATTAGGGATTATTTTGAATATAATGAAAATGAAAATACTACATATCCATTCTGTATGTGGGGGGTTCTGCTAAAGCAGAACTTAAGGGAGATTTACCATATTAAATACCTATGTTAGGAAAAAAAGAAAAGACTCTAATCAATAACCTCAGCTTCCAACTTAAGTAACTAGAAAAAGAAGAGCAAATTAAATATAGAGTAAATAGATGAATTAATGTAATAAAGACCAAAGAGAAATCAATGAAATATAAGACAGAAAAACAATAGTGAAAATCAATGAAACCAAAAACTAGTTTTTTAAATGGATCAATAAAATTGAAAAAACACTTGCCAGACTATGAAAAAAAAAAGAGAAATAACACAAATATGCTCAATAGCATTAATTATAGAAATAAAAAATAAAACTGTAAGAGGATACCATTATATTCCTATTATAATGCTAAACTTCAAAAGACTGTCCATATCAACTATTGAAGAGGGTATGGAACAACTGGAATCCAAACACTGCTGATGGAAATATAAAATGATGCAAACACTTTAAAAAACAGTTTGGCAGTTTCTTAAAAGCTTAAACATATGATCTAGTCATTCCATTCCTGGGCATTTTCACGGGAGAAATGAGAGGATATGTCCACATGAAGATTAATACGCAAAATACATAGCAGCTTTATTTGTAATAATCCAAAACTGGAAACAACCCAAATGCTCATCGACAGATGAATGGGTATCAAACTGTGGTCTGTTCATGCAGACAGAATACTAGTCAGCAGTGAAAAACAGAGTGAACTCGCCCGGCCGGGCGTGGCTCAGCGGTTGAGTGTCTACCTGGGATCCAGGTGATCGAGGTTTGATTCCCGGTCAGGGCACAGGCCCTGTTGCGGGCTTGATCAATGGCTCTCTCATCATTGATGTTTCTACCTCTCTCTCTCCCTCTCCTTTCCTCTCTCTAAAATCAATAAAGATATATTTTTTTAAAAAAAATGAACTCTTAATACATGCGACAACATTAATGAATCTCAATAATGTCAACCCAAGCCGTTTTGCTCAGTGACTAGAGCATCGGCCTGTGGACTGAAGGGTCCCGGGTTTGATTTCAGCCAAGGGCACCTACCTTGGTTGCAAGCTCAATCCCTGGCCCCGGTTGGGAGGCAACCAATCAATGTGTCTCTCCCACATCAATGTTCCTCTCTCTCTCTCTCCCTTCCTCTCTCTCTGAAAAGCAATGGAAAAATTATCCTCAGGTAAGGATTAAAAAAAAAAGTGTCAATGATGTCAAATATAAGAAGTCAGACCCTCAATAAAGAGTACATGGAGTATGATTCCATTTCTATAAAAATATAGAAAATGCAAACTAATCTATAGTGACAGAAAGCAGATCAGTGGTTGCCTAGAGGAAGTGAATGAAGAGAGGGTCAGGAGGGTGGATTACAATAAAGAAACTTTTGGGCCGGTGAATATCATGTTCTTTTTCTTGAATATGGTGGTGGCCGCACAGGGCTTTACATACGTAAGTCAAAACTGACCAAATTGTACACTTTAAAGTATGTGCAATTCATTTTGTGTCAACTGTGTCTCTATTATGCATTTTAAAAGATTAATGAAAAAACATGAGTAAATACATAAATAAATCAAAGGTTTGTTTCTTACCATTCACACTAATCAATATAGGAAACACTAATTTATTTGTTTATATAATGAAGGTAAAGAAGATCCATATGAATTTACTTTATTTTGTCTACAATTAACCTAAAATATGCTACATGGTTTGTTTTTTTATAGTCATTAAGAAAACAAAATATTGAATATCCAACAAAATACAATAAAAAAATCACTATAGGACTTTCTCTTGCCCGATATCTATATTAATTCTATATCTATGATAATTCTAGTTTTAAGATTCATTCTGCACAGTACATTATGATGCACTTTGGACTTCTAGTTTGCACAATCAATATATTTATAAGACTTAAGATCTTTTGATTTGTGGTTCAGATTGAACAGGATTGAGAATTTCTGACCACTTATGCCCAAACCCTACAGAGCAAAGGTTATACTGTGATAATGGGTTCATTGGGAGCTGCCACCACACACTAGCTTTAGCCTTGGGCACTGTTTTTAACCTCTCTCTACCTATTTCTTTCAAACGATACATAGAGATGATATTTGTAGGGTTGCTGTGAGGATTAATCAAGGGAATGGAATAAAGCTCTTAGCCAAGACGCCAGCTCAGAGCTCTCAAAAAACAAGAACTACCTTTGAACTACAAAAATTTTTAGGACAGAGCCCAATGAGTATAAATTATCCCATTATATAGCAACATGTATACAATGCATCCCAGCAGGAGTGGAATACTGAAAAATTACTATTTGACCAAAAGGAATATTTCTTAGAAAGGCAGAGAAAATCTAAAAAATATATATGATTAAACTGAAAAGACCTAGTTTAAATCCCAGCTTTGGCATGTTAACTAACCAATTCTGGTTGGTTATTATAGTCCAACTGTCCATCTGATAGTCTGTAAAATGGACATGACCTGTAAGTGGCAGGTGTTTGGTGAATGGGTACTGAGAGATTTAATCAAAGATATTGTTTACAGCAGCAGTTTCTATACTTCTATCTGTCTGATAGGAAAGATCCCTTTCACTTTGAGGTAAAACCAACATATCAGTCACTAATTGTCATATATTTCTCTCTAATGATAAACGTATGGGGCAAGTGTGGCTCTACAGGGCATTGGTGGCGTTAGAACCTGAACTGCAAAGTTTAAAGCTAATGAGAATTTCAAGAGCATTTAGAGACCATGCAAGAACCTCATAACCACTTACAGAAAACCAGTGCTAAAAAGTTCCATGCAGGTGACCACTGGAAATACCTTGATTTTGCTTCTTTTTTCTTTTTAAAGCAAAACACCAGTGCCCCTGATGTTCATAGTCCTTTAAAGATTATTTTATTTATTCATTTCACAGGTCTCCTGTTATGGCTGGAGGTCTCTTTGCTGTGAATCGCAAATGGTTTTGGGAGTTAGGTGGCTATGATCCAGGTTTAGAAATCTGGGGAGGAGAACAGTATGAAATCTCTTTTAAGGTAAGCCACCAAGATACTCTTCACACTATGTCTACCTAATTTTGAAGAGTCTTATAGAATGTTATTATTTTGTTTTGTGATCTGTGTTGTGAGATGACTTGATGAAAATAGACATGTCACCTTCCCAAGTCAGCTCTTGGATGAAAGGAGCTACTTCCTTCTGATGTTTCAGTGAGACGTAGCCATGCCATAAAAGAAATGCAGAATCGAAATAATTCTAAATCCCATTTTCAGGTTGGAAACTTGATTTGCCAACAGACCTACTACTCCTCTGACCAGTGCATTCCCTCTGAGCACTTAAAAATATAGATAGAAGAATTAAAATGAAAGAAATCAAATTTATTGGAGCTTTTGCTCCTTTCTATTTGTTCTAGAAACAGTATTTCACATTTTGATTGTAGCCAGTTACTCTTCTTTCAATAACAGAAGAGTAATTTTAAAATATGAATTACAAATTAAAGTTATTTTTATATAATTCCAAAATAAGTAAATTTTTAACTTATTTTTATCTGAAATTGCCCAGGTCTTTATTTGCTTTGACCATAAACATTCAGGAAAATTATATACTTTATCATATGTATATATATGATAGAATATCAAATTTCAGGGTTTATAAATGAAAAAACGTTACCACACATGTGAAAGCCATATAAGCAAAGCAAATTGTGCAAAAGGTTGTTCTCTAAACCTACAAGATGTGTGGCTTTTTTTTCTAAAAAGCAGTCTTATAATAGAAAAAAAAAATCATTTCCTTTTGTACATTATCATTGTCACTATTTAGGTAGAAGATAGGCAGATTCTTGCAAGAGTTATCTTATAGAAATCTGTTGCTAAGTAACAGATTTTCCTAATTATTTCCATTATGAAATCAAACCAATCCTTGCTGAGAAAGCAAAAAGGTATTCTGAATATAGTAAAAAGTCAAACTTAGGAATCCAGCTAAACTTTTTTAATTGATGTATTGAAAGAAAATGATAAAAGCTGATTTTTATAGAACTATAACAGCTATAGTCAATGTGTTAACAGAAATGATATACTGTCCTCAAAGTATCATAAAGTAAATATTCCCTAAGAGATGCTCAAGAAGCATGATTGCAGGCTTCAAAACATCTAGAATTTTCCATCTTATTATGCTGACACTAATCCTTGAAACCATTTATTAAATTAGTGCGCTTTTTTTCACCATCCTTCAAACACATCTAATATCACATATAGGCTACTTTTTTCCATAACCTTTTTATAAATATATGGTCTAAAATCCTTGAATTTACCAGTGTCTGGAGAGTTTGCAGAATATACATTTGCATATGGCAGAAGGTAACAACCATAGAAGTAATAATGATTGAAATAGCATCTACTCTCTTTACCTGGTGGTATGAGCCAGATGCTGAGCTAAGTGCTTCATGTGCATTATCTAATTTAAAATCACAACTCTAAGAGGTAGGTATTCTTCCATTTTACAAATGAAGATTTTAGATTAAATTATTTTTAACTTTTAAAGATTAAATAAACTACTAAGTGCCACTTAGGGATTGAAATGCCCCATTTCTGCTTAATTGCAGAGATGCAGAATCATGAAATTCTCTGACACCCAAGTCATACCTATCAACACCACCATTGTAGAGTTCACTGATCCCTACCTGATGACTCCTCTCATTGAACAGAGGCATGTCTTCATTACAGTCTAATAGCAAAGCAACAAACTTTCTGCTGACCCTGGCAAAATACTACTGATTAGCCAACATTGCCTAAAGCCGGGTGCAAAGTTTACAATAATACCTTCAACTGGAAGCGTTAAAGATAAAAATGGCATTGCTATATTTGTGCTATCATCAGAATTCGAGGGATTCTTTGAACTGTAAAACTTTTCACAATTCAGGAAATTTTTTTTCTTAAGTTGTCTTACCTCCTGAATTCCTTAAGTTTAAAATATTATTACAAAAATTCCTATTAAGCGGGAGATGCCTGGTTTTGAATTATGAACTGGATGCTGGATAAAACTGCTATCGAACAGCTGGAGAGTTTGCAGAATATACATTTGCATTCTCAATCACAAAAGTGTTTTCCAGAACCACATGAACTTGCATCTCCCGCTTCCCTGTCACTCGTACCTATCACATCTCTTTTGGGTGACCTAGAGTTTTATTACCCCATTTTCAATTTTTTTTGGTTATCTGTCACTCTGAAGGATATAATTGGAATGCAGCCCTGTCAGCTTTGAACAGAAACCATGGCAACAGTGCTGGAAGTGCAGGACTAAATTGCCCTGGGTTGTTTGGTTGGAACGACAGCTGCTTTGGCGAGGGCTATGTCTTACAGGGTCCCGTTTTATACACATCCCTTCATTCTTCTCGCTATTGTGTGATGACCTTGGGGTTCCTGTCCCTCCTTGTTAGTATTTGTAACATGAGGAGGGCAAACTTAAACAGGTTTCGTGGAATTTGCATTGAAGCAAGAAGAATTTTCTCCATGTGCAAAGAACCGAAAGAATTGTACACAGTATCCCGGTTAAATGGTATTATATGATACCATTTAAAATAAAAGAGGAAAGTCAAATCTCTGAGTTTTTGGACATATTTCATAAACTGTGATTCATTTCTCAGGATAAAGACTGTAAGATATAAACTAGTCAGCACCTAAGGTTTGGGAAATATGTATGGATAACTGAGAGCTTAGTCTATGTACTTCATGCCATAATATAGAAAGTATTTGAAGTCTAGAACTTTAAAAGCTCTAATTCAAAAGATTTCTATCTATGGTTGTTATCAGACATCTTTGCTAGTTGCTTGTTTTTCAACCAAAGAATCATTTCACCAAAGTTGACAAGATTCCATCACTGAATAAAAGTATTTCCAGAAAGATTTGCTTTATATAAAGTCTTAGCTTTTGGTCAAACAGTATTTGGTTAAAAGTGCTCCTCAATTCTTTTTCTCTCTAAATATCTTTTTCTAACATCTGATTAGATGAGTAGATTTCATGCCATAATGTAAAAACCAACACGGTATAATTTTCTGGAGTCAGTTGTGGAAAAGATCTCTCCAGGGAAATGATCTGTCTACACGGTACCCAGTCATTAGTATGTTTTAGTATGAACCTGAACTCCTAGATGGCCCAGAATTATCCACCTGTCCTTCAAATGTTGCTAGGTCAGCCAGCTGCTTGGGAGGAGAAAGCAGCATTTAGTCGGTCATTCAAAGCTTTTAGTGAGCATCTAGTTTATGTCAGGCATTGTTCCAGGTACCCAATTTGGAGTTGCACCTGGAAACAAAGAGGAAACCAAGCCAGACTGCACAGTGTGGCATAAAAGAGATAACCCACATTGTTAGATATTATCTGCCATTTAAGTTGCTGAAATAATGTTAAAGTCATTATGAGTCTCTGATTTTCCCAAGTGTTTTTTCACATCCATTTCCCAAAGATAAAAGTCCACATGTCAGCATTTTCAGAAGATCTGTCCTTCGATTGCCGAAAACTCTTCTCAGAAAATAAAAGTGAGCCAAAAACACTCACTAGGCACCACAAAATTTAGAATGAAGCCCAGGGACTGACTGACTCTATTCCACAGAATTATCTGGCATGGGACATAAAGTTTAGATATAGGTAGAAGAGCATTAAATTTGCTTTGGGCTGCCCTTTTTGAGCCCCAGGAGCTTATCAGCATGGTCCCACGTTGATCCAGTGTTTCTTGGGCCATTTCATAGCCCAGGAAAAGCTCTGGATCACCAGCCTCAGCTGGACAGAAATGTTCCCAGCTCCAGATGAGATTAGTACGGGACCATATGTCCTAGAGCGAGCCTACCGAAGCTGGTGGCCCTGCACGGCCTGTTTCAAAAACCGTCTTAATGAATTATGACACACTCTGCAGTCACCCTTGTTCTGTGCCGTTGTCCTTCCCATGTATTGAGATTAAGATTCAGACATTTAAGGAAACTTTAACTTGTCTCACAATCTTTCAGCCCTTCTCAGTCATTAGTTCATTCAACAGACATTTATTTATTGACAACAATGTGCCAACTCTGGGCTAAGCTCTTGAGATTCAAAGATAAATGTGGGAAGATTCTTGCTGTGGAGGAGCTTACTCTCTAGCAGCAGCTTGAGAATTAATTTGCCACAATGACTCATCCTCAGAAATGTTTGAAACATTTTTTATTTGCATGCTCACAGTAATAATTCGGAATATATACAATAGCCTCTTTGCTAGTCTCCCTTCCTCTATTCTTTCTCCCCTTTTAACCTATCTCCACATTTCATTCATTTATTCCCTGAGCTGCTTTATTTTCCCCTCCTACAAGTTCACAGTTGCCCCTAATTACCACACAAATCACATGAACACACTGAATCCTACACCACGAAACGTTCCATCAACTACCTGCCTCGCCTACCTGTCTCAGTCTACACTGCAAACCAATTTAACTAGCATCTTCCTTTTCTTCCCAGAAGATAGGAATTCATTCTTCCATTTTCATGCCTACTTATTGCAGAGATTTTAACCAACCAGTCAGACTTTGTTCAGTTGCTGAGAAATTTATCTTCTCTACAAACATTAATCAGCAGCCTTTACCATGAGGCTGTGTGCCATGCCATGTACCATAGACTCTGCACAAAAGTGCCAAAAAAGCCCAGTAGAAGCCATTGGATCAAGGACAATTGAGATGAGTATTTCACTCATTAAACATAAAGAGCAATTAAAGCCAAAAAAACAAACAAACAAACAAAAACTACATTAAGAATTTCCTCTGAAGTAAACCATATAAATGTACTTTTATTCACCAATTTTTTAATGCAAAAGAGGCTAAAGCTTTTCCCTCTGCATATGGGTCCAGCGACTAGACTAAAGTAGAGCGGCATAAACCATACTCATGCCACATGCACTATGAGTTCCGCTTCGGCTTCTTTTAAATTGGAATTAGGACCAAAAGGCATTTCGAAGCTATCTTAATGCAGTCATAGAATCCTTCTGATTTTGTAATGATTTCACCCAACCTTTTATTGTTACTTTG